CACACACACACACACACACACACACACACGGACACACATCTCTCTCTCTCTCTCTCACACAGACACACACACAAACAGACACACACGCACACACATGAACTGTGTTTGTTCTTCCATAGCAAATTTCGGAATCCCACAAAGCGGAAATCGAAGAAGGAAACCCGGACAGAAAGCGCGAAGGGTAGTTGCAAAAATCAAGAGATAAGGAGAGCAATGCCGAAAGGGAGGCTCTTTCTCCCTTTCTCGCTCTCTCCCTCCCTTCCTCTCCGCCCTCCCTCCCCTGCCCCCCCCTTCCCCTTGCCCGGCTCTCTACCCGGCTTCCACAGACAGCCACATGTACCCAAAGAAATTGGACGGCCAAGCTTTTTTTTTTGTTCTCTTTGTCCCTTTCCTTAGGGCAGCCCACAGCCGTTTCTAGCTTGGGACTCGGTTCATTGGCATACCAACTTGCTGGGGTCGTTGGTGCCTGCCTACCTCTACAAAAGCGGAGGGATGTCGATCTGCAGACGCTTACCATACATCTCTGTGCATGAGGCAGAAAAAAACTGTGCACATGTCCACATTCGAAATTCAATATTAAATCATTTCAAATGATTATTTCTATTTATCAGGGATTAAAAAAAAAAAAGAAAAAAAAAAGCTCAAACTTCAAAGTCTTCAGCAGTTTCAGCACCCTTCTTTTCATTTCTTGATTCCTGTTATCATTTTTCTTCCCCTCCCTTCCCCCTCGCAGCAATGGATGCAAAATTGCAAATAAAAAAAAAAATAAAAAAAAATAAAAATTATAAAAAGACGTTCGACGAGGGTTATCCTTCTCCTTTAAAAGAAAAAAAAAACAAAACCATCCTACTCTTGTAAAGACAATTAGGCAGCGGAAACACGACATTCAGAAGGAAAAAAAAATAAAAATACAATGCAGACTCAATGCGGAGGTAAAAGAAAAGACGCTGAACTACCGAAAGCAGCACCCTGTTGAAGCGCACCGGCATATGTACAAGCGACCATGGATAGTGTGCACAGATGACTGTTTACACGAGATACATCATGAAATCACTTTTAAAAAAAAGAAAAAGAAAAAGAAAAACAAAAGAAACGAAAGAGCTACGAAGCCCCAGAGAGAGAGAGAGGGAAAAAAAGCATGTGACGACAGAAGTAGAGGGCACTGATCGATACCAGGCCTTTTGATGGAGAATTGTCTTACCTACCAACCGAACAAACACTTCTCAAACACGGAAAACAAAGAGAACAAAGAAATGACACAAATAGATTTAAATTTAAAACAGTAATAAAACCATCGGTGTACACCCCAAACAGGGGAAAAAAAGACAAGCCGAATTTCACAATAGATAAAAACATTAAAAAACTTGAAAAAAGTTAAAAACCTTCGGTACACTCCCCAACCCTTGGGCAAGTAGAGGCTAATACCCCCGCATTCACCAACCCAGGCCCTTCCATCCACGGCACCCTAACTGCTCCTCGACAAATTGCATCAACGGGGACCTTAGGGAACTCTTCTTATCCCCATCCACTGCCAGTAACAAGTGCTTCGATCAGGTCCTCTCCTCCCCTTATCTCCTCCCTCGCCGCCCTCCTCTCTCTCTCTCCATTGCTTCCCTCCCTCTTTCCCACCCCTTGAAAATCGCCGCCTTGTACACAACGAAACTTGGCTTTCGGAGGATTACCATCTGCAATCGGCAAGATCATCGGTCCGTTGGTGGTCGATGCCCTGTCCATCCCACAATGATATTCTCCTAACCTCGGAATGATTCTCAATCCGCAAGCTGGACAACAGAAAGGAAACTATCTAAGAAGGGAATCGTTAGGTTGTCATGTTGTTGTACCTGTCCGTGTAGGCCCTCCTAACCTCGGAATGATTCTCAAGGGGTGTGCTTCTGTGTTGAACACCCACTGATCCAGTGGGATGACTGTGGGTTCAGAAAACAGCAGGTACAAGTACTTCAGTGTCTCCGCCAAGAAGAAGCTCTGCATAGTGTCATCCTTCTCTGGCGGGTCTATCGTCACCTGTTTACATTCACCAAACACACACACACACACACACAAACACACACACACACACACACATCACACACACATTAGACACACATCAGACACACATCAGACACACATCAGACACACA